AGGAAATGCATTGTTTGGAACTAATAATGAATTATAATAGTCAATTTGATAGCGGTTATAATAGTTTATTTGATTAGTGAATTGTGTTAGCAATTTGTAAATAATTATTTGAAAAATACTAAATTGCAGTTTATATAGCCATTATGAAAAAATAATATTGACATGTTATTCTACAAACTAGTGCGTGGCCCGTGCGATGCACGGAAAAATAATATTTTGATTGTATTACAAATTAAATAAATAAATAGCATTAATCATGATTTATCCATTATTTTTAAATTAAATCGGGTTGGACACAGTCCGACCGGATGGACCGAGAACAGGTTTATAACCAGTATATTGCGCTTGAATAAAATATATGCTATCGAATCCGTCAACATCAGTATGTTGGACTGGTAGGATCGATACGATTTTCTAAACAAATTTTGTTACATTAAAAATTATTTTAAATAAAATTACATATTTAAATAAAATAGAGATTTAAATTGTTTATCAATTAGTTTAAATATTTGAATTTATAAATTGTTTAGATATTTAAGTAACACTTTTTATTTAAATTTACTACAAAAAGTACTATATATATATATTAAAGTATTATGTATTAAAATCTGAACAACCACAAATGATTTAATAAAATAACTTGATCGTTTCGATGACGTTTCGGTTCTGAAAACCTTATATTTACCGTACATTAATAAAAATGATAATAAAATAATTATTTTTTTCACATAAATAATGATAAAATGATATATAAATATTCATAAATTATTATTAATCATGTTGTCGTAAAAGTATTGTTAATATGATTATTTGAAGTTTGGATTACATAATAAAGTATTTTCAATATTAAAATTTATATTTAGGTTCAATAATCGATTTGGTCTAGTTAAACTGATACATAACTTAGTTACCTGGGACCAACCAAGTTATGTCAAGTTTTTTTACTATTTTAAATATCACCTAAAAGTAATTCAATCAACGTGGGCAATACCCTAATTCAATCACCCGATTGATCCAAAAGTAATTTCATTATATTTTCTTTAAATATAATTTTTAATTTTATGAAATAAAAAAAATTTATGATTCAATATGTCTACACCAAATGATAGTATATTAAGATTATAAATTATATATCTAAAGATTAATTATTTATTTTTATTTTATGCATATTAATAAAAAATAAACATAGTAATGTAAAAAAAAATCAAGACTAATTGATTGGGTATATATATATATATATATAACATGATTGAATTTTTGGATTAGAAGATATATATTTAAAATGATTTTATTATTAAAAGTAAAAAAGAAAAGATGTCATAAAGATTACAACTTTGAAAAGTTTGTAACCATTAATTTAGGAACCATCCGATTTTAAATGATTTATAATTTTTGAAACATGATACGTCATCTAAAACCCATTAATTTAGGAATCATACAATTTTTTGATAATGAATTAAAATTAAAATGTAAAATAAAAAAATTGCTAAAAATAGTATGTAATAAATGTAAGTTGACTTTTCCTTATTACTATTTATGGTAAATGTTAATTCTTATTATATATATATAGATATAGATATAGATCTCTTCTATTCAAAATGCTTCTATTGAATTTTTTCAAAATTAGCATTTCAATCAAAACGCTAATTAAATAAGTTATTTACCAGACCTCAAGTTTTTTCCTTTTTCCCTTTTGACATCATTCTGCAAACATTCAAACGAGTCATTGTAACACCCACTCTTTGGGCTTGTTGGACTCGTCAAGATGACGGTCGCGCACTATATTGTATCAGCCCAAATAGTAGTCTTATTGGGCTGTTTTAAGCGGGCCTTTTTCTAGTGGACCAAAAACAACAACAAAAAAGACTACCTCAAATTAATTAATCAACAAAATTCTTGAGCGTTTTTTTCCTCTGTTCGCCGGCTGAGGAAATACTGCGCAATATCCATAAAGCCGCCGGTGAATAATTTGTCAAAGCCGCCTGGTAGAGATGGGATTCACGAAAGAGCAGCTGCTTGCTCGTTTACAGGTTAGTTTATCTTTTTTATTTTTTATTTTTGTCCCATTATATCGTCTCGTAACTTTGAAGATGGAGCCATCACGTGTTTGCAATTCGGACCAAGATCCATTTTTTATGTGTTCATAATGCAGTCTATGTTAACCTGGGATAGTTTGATTATTGTGGTGATGCAAGGAGAAAAGTGGGACTTTGTGCTTTGGCAGAAAAATGAACTTATTCAGAGTTTTTGTTGATTAGTTTACTTGAGTTGGATTTGATTTTGGTGGTATTGTCCAGCTATAGATTTCTTGGCTCAAGGATCAATTTTATGCGTCACTCTGAGGATTTTGTAAATTTAACTAAAGCTAATCTTTTTTGAATAGTTCCCTATTATCAGTTGAGGTGTTCATGGCTGGAATATCTCATTCAGGTGTATGTGGGTTGAATTTAGTGATAATTTCTTAATATAGTTAGAAAACGGAACAATCGTTAAAGGTCCGAACTTTGAACTTAATGGGTTGCCTTCAAGTTATTGGATGTTTATATTTTCGTATTTTCATAATTTTCAGAAACCTGTGATGTATTTGATCCTCTTGATGGATTATGCATTCAAATGGGTGATTAGTTTTTTATACATCTGTTTATGTTTGGTATTTATTTTGCATGATATCTCTTTTCTTGTTTCTTATCAGGAGCTTCAAATCGGTTATTCCAAATATGACCATCCCGTTGTGTTAACAGTGGAAGCTCAGGTGATTTTAACCCCTTTTTCTTCCCCCTTTCAAATAAAAATATTCTTGTGGAACTTAAATTGATCTTGATTTTATTGCATCAGGCAAAGTATGTTGGGCACTTGAAAGGTGGATTGTGCAAAAATTTGTTCTTGAAGGTGAGTTTTGATGACACCTCAAATGCTTATAGTATTCTTTGAATTGCGTATTTCTTTAAAAAAAAAATGACTCGACTGCTTATTTTATGCTCCATTTAGGATAAGAAACAAAGATTTTATATAGTTTCTGCCTTGGCCGAGACAAGGGTAGACCTAAAAGGTATATATATTTATATACTGAGTCTTTTCTAAGCTCCATTCTCTGATCGGGGAAATCAATCGGTAAAATCTTTTATATCATTTTAACAGTTCTCTCTCAGAGGCTGGGTTTAGGGAAAGGAGGTCTAAGAATGGCTCCAGAAGAAGCACTTGCAGAAATTCTTCAGGTTTTTGTATCTAATTTAATATTTATTTTTCTGGTTTAGCAAGTTTGATAATGATTGAACTAATGCCTCTGTGACATTTATTTAAATGTAACTGAAGGTGCCCTTAGGTTGTGTTACTCCCTTTGCACTTGTGAATGACTCGGCAAAGTATGCGTTTCTTTTCCTTGTTGTCTGAGCTAAACATATCGGATATTTGTTGTCATAATTTAATTTTTTTTTTCCTTTTTTGCTGTGAAATTGGCTTTTGAAGCTATCTTCGTTCCACTTTTTTGAAGGCACGTTTCTTTATTGCTCGATCAAGGGCTTAAGTGTCAGGAATGTTGCCTCTTCCATCCAATGTCTAATGACATGACAATCGGTGAGTAATTAAAGCTTTATCAAGTTAAACATTTGGAGAAAATGCGTACATTTACAGGTTTAATTGCAGAAATTACCCCTTGATTTTGCCTGACTATAAAAAGAGCTTGTATGTTTTTCTTTATTTAAATTACAAATAACTCGTTAAGGTTTGTAGTTACCCTGGGAAAGCTCTCTTGATATCCTAGTAAGCTAGTACCTTACTGAAGGCGTACTTGTGTAAGATAAATGTAAATGTCGGGGGATTATTTGTAATATTTGATTAGTTNGATTAAACTTCACGGGTAGTTTTGTAGCTAAACCTACATGTCCCTGTTTAAACTTATTCAACTAAAGCTTCTCGTCTTATTCCTGTTAAATTATCCAAATTATAAAATCTCATTTCTAAATTCTAACTCAATTGTGATTTCTCTAAAGCTCTTAAAGCACTTGATCTTGACAAGTTCTTGATTTCTATTGGGAAAACACCTGCCTACGTGGACCTCGAGGTAACATCAACATTAGTTGGTTGTATATATATATATATTTTTTAATTAATTTAGTCAATTTTGAACTCTCATTGTCAATATTTTAGGCTAATCCTACGGTTGGGAAGGATCAACCTCCAGATCTAGCAGCTCTCGTTCCTTCTGATTCAAAAGTCTCGGCTGATCCTGTTGAAAAACCGGGACCCGGTCAAGGTCCCGAAAAGAATCAAGTGCCAGCGAATAACCAACCGACAGGTGTCAAAGGTACATTTTTTCAGTTGTTACGGATCAAATGTTTGCAATTACATTTAGCTGCTTCAAGGTTTTGGTATTTGATGTTAATAGTGGAATTTTGATTAGTGGCAAAAGCTGTAAAACCGTCTAACGATTCTACAAAAGAGAAATCAACTGATGCTGTGAACTTGTCGATCTCATATGCGGACACTGATAAGTTTGTTGAAGAGATTTTGGAGAAGACAAAATCTTTTGTTCTCTCAGAGGTGAGGGGAAAATTTGCAATAATTATGTAATGTGGTGCACCAGGGTTTTTCTTGAATCCAAAAAAAAATCGATCATAATTATAATTATAATAACAACCATAAATTTGATAGTTTAAAAACTATGAAAGCCCCCTCGAGATTTTTTAATTACCTTACAGCCCTTTTTTTATTGTATAGATTGAGGAAGACAATGTAAGCAAACTTGGGGTTGAGCTGAAGAACATTGCTGTAAGTAATACTTATCGACCATGCACAGTGTGGTTTTCTATAGATTCTTTATTTCTATTTCCATTATTAGATAGAATAGCTTATGCGCCTATTTTTAAGAAACTACAATTGAGTGACCTTTGTTTTTTATATGTAAAATGTCGCAGACCATATTCAAGAACACGGCTTACACAGAAGGCTTCAGAGCTGGTATTCATCGTCAGCCAAAGAGACTGTAATTTTTTGAAATCTATCCATATTTATCTAAGAGAACAGAGAAAAAAGGGAGAAAATCAGAGGAAAAAGTTTTTTTTTTTTGGCTTGGATATGATATGAAACACGATTTATTTGACCACATTTATCCCTTTTACATGTGATGACTTGACTTTGTTTCGTTTTAGCCTGAATTTAGTTCGACAGTATCAAATTAAATGCTGTTCGTCGAATTTCTTTCCCCGTTTTTTCAACTTTTAAATGTAGACACTTGCAATACTCGAGCATGGGTAGCCCTTCTCGTCTCGTTAGGTAAATTTCCATTCCACTCTTCATACATACGCCATTTGCTTTAAAGAATATTACACCTCCATGAATCTGCTGCTGAAAAACAGGCAAAATAGGAACTATTCATGAGTGTTTATTAGAATCATTGGCTTTAAATCATCGTTATATTTACATCGCCCGTTTAATTTTGGTTATATATATAATCACATTCCGAATTTAGTACATCTTGCATTTTGCCGCGTTTTTTTTTTTTTTTTTTTTCACACAACCGACCCACATTAAGGTTCACGTCAGTTCTCACCGGGACGAAGCGAATTCGCCAGCTGGCGGAGCCCCCTGCGGGGCCCGCGCGTCTCGTCATTCCTAATTTCTCGACTCTCGCGTGGGCCCGCCGCCGCCGCCGCCACCTCGTGTCGGCAGACGGGGCACGTGTTGTGGAGCCTCAGCCACGGGACGATGCACTCGGAGTGGTAGATGTGCTTGCACGGGAGCTCTCGAGCTTCCGTCCCGACTTTGAACTCTTCCTTGCACACGGGGCACTCTGGGTCGGGCCCCAGATGGGTCGACGAGATCTTGACCGTCGAGATGGCCTCGATCGCCGATTCCGACGCAGGCGGCGGGCCGGGCCTGTCGTTCTGGGTCAGCTCCTCGATCAGCTCGTGCAGGCCCGGCCCGTCAAAGTAGTCTGGGCCCGGTGGGCCCAGACTTCCTCCTGGAGGCTGGTTCGGCCCAGTACGCCGGATGATGACCCAGGTTTCGGGTCGTGGTCGTGGGCGGGAAAAGATTCCGCTCTCGGAATCCCAGCCGTCTGTGTCGTCATAAAACGGATTGGATCTCCTTCTCGATCTTCTGTGGGCCCGATTATGGGCCGGATTCGGGCCTCGGTTAGAGTCGTTATCGACGGGTGGGTTGCGTAGGCCGGGCGGAAGCCCGATCATGAGGGTGAGGGCCTCGAAGATTCGGGCCTCGGGGGAAGGGTCGAAGGCGGTGAACTCGAAGATGGATCTCGTGTTCGAGGGGTCGATTTCGTTGAGGAAGGTGCCGAAGCAACGGGGGCATATGGGCTCATTTTCGTGGGGCCTGCGGGACGCGATTCGGACGGGCCGATGGCATTGGTAGCACCAATAGCGGTTGAAGGTTCGGGCCTCATTGGGCCTTGTCCTTGGAGGGCTCCATGACATGTTCTATTTTTTTTTTGGAGGGGAATAATGTGCGTGGGGAGATGGGTGAAGGAAAAGCGTGTTTTTCTTATATATGAGTTGAGAGAGTTTGAAAAGAGTTGTGTTTGTTAGTTGGAAAAGGGATGGCTTTTTTAAGGTGCACAAAGTGATTCTCTTTTATGGTTTCTTGCTTTTTGAGGCAATGTTTTGTGCAAGTCTTTTAAAGAAAGGATTATGTGGGAGAATGAATTTTTGGTCATTACGTTTGTTACTTAAAAAGCGTGTCATGTGAGTTAAAAACATTACTTGGTGATCAAATTATAGGCTGGAATTAGCTTTTTGGTATGCTTTAGCCCATGCAGGGGAAAAGTATGTGTGGCAAAGTTATGATAAGCCCAATTGTGAAAGGTTTGGATTGGGCCTGCATCTGTCCATTTTATGGCCGAATTATGGATTCATCTCAAATTTATTACAATTAAAAAATAAAAAATCCCTACTCCCTAGGATGATGACTCGTGAATTCAATGAGAAATATGTATATGTGCATATATTTTTTTTATACAGGAAAAAATAAAAGTAAATGAAATAGTTTCTCCAGTACAAATTAGTACGTAATTTAAACAGTGTACTACTGTCTGCATGTGTAAATAAAGATTTGGTCAAAGCAAATATCTGATTTTTAGTTTTTTATTTTCTACTGAGTGTAAGACGATCGTCACATGTTTTTGGCAGACGAAACACCATTTGCAATTAATGTTTATATGACAAAATTCCAACTACTTTTTAGCATTTGAAAAATAGACATTTCAAAATGTAG